TGGGGTGGGGGTTACTAAATTGCCTTCTTTATAGTGGAAATAATTGGCACTTTGAATTGGCTGCACTTGGTGCAAACCCCGGGTACTTCGTACCAATGCAAAGGTTGTACCGCTGGAGCTACCGCAAGCGACTAAGTCATCCTACCGAGCAAATCATCTTTTTTTAATTTAAAGTACCGTTACAAATCATAAGAATTGCCAATAGGCGCCGTGAGGCGCTTTTAGTGCATTAGCCAAACATTTTGCATGCTTCTTGGCAGCCATTTTTCAGGTGGGTTGGTGTTCCCGGTCTATTAAAATGCACACAGCTTATATACATAGTACCATTCATCTCTGTGGCAAAGACTTTTGGAAACCCCACCAAGCAGCATTTCTGCATCGCGAGGAAGAAACCTCCTAAGTTGGCTGTAAACTTGGCAAATTGAGCGGTCGAGCGTTCGATTCCATTTTTGGTCGAAATCCCAACATAATAGGAAGTGGGATCGAAAATGTCCCAGCAAAAAAAAAAAAAATGAGATTGCTTTCGAGGAAATCTTGCAATAAACTGTATCACAGCTGATGATTTATTGGCCAGTTTCAGCTCAGCAATTGAGTTCTGGAGGTCGAACAAACTTGCGAGCGATGGGTTGTTTAGTGTCTGGCATTCGCTGGCGATCCGATGTGCCATTCCGGGCTCAAAAGTCATTTTTACAAAAATTGGTCAGGTGTATGGCCAGCTTTAAGCCCTCGTTCACACCTGAACGTTTTGTAGCGCGTTCTACGCTCGACGAACGCTCTACAAAACGCTCAAAAATATCAATCCCATTGTATTCAATGGTCTCGTTCACACCTTGGCGTATTTCCGCCCGTCCCTAACGCCCTACAAAACGGCCCACGCCTGAAAAGGTACAGGTACTACTTTGGGCCGTTTTGTTGCGCGTTTCCATTGGGATACAGCCAAGTAGCCTTCGGAAACACGCGACGGTCGCGCAACTTTTTTACCGCGAATCGCGGTAAAGAAAACGCACGACAGACGCGCATATGCAATACGCCTAGTTGTGAACGAGACCTTACAGAGGTCTCTATGGGCGTTAGGTGCGGCACGGCATAAAAATGTAAACATGCCGAATCCCAGGATGATGGCGGTGAACCGAGCATACTGGGGGGTGTGGCACTGTAACCGGTACACTGTCCAATCCAACACGCTAACATAATCGTACATCAGCCATTCGGGTGTGAGGAGCAGGCTCCTTACGGGAAGGGGGGGGGGGGGCTGTGGCCCTCTGTAACAGTAGACCCAAACAAACCGCTTCAAAGCTTTTCAAGGAGCCATCGTACCAAATTCAGAAGCATGACAAAGTAGGAAGGCAAGATTTTAAAAATGGCGATATATAGGCCACCAGGGTCCATTCACACTACGGCCTTATGATGCATGTCACATGTGTTGGTGTGCCATTCATTTTTACTGGCACCCCAATGCAGCTTAGCTGATGGACGCGGCAAAGCACTAGCGGAAAATGCTGAATGCGCAATTTTTGGGCCGTGTGGAGCATTGGGCAGCCCTACCACAGCACACGGTAACCATCAGGCCAGGCTGGTGTGAATGGGCACTTAAATCATTTCCCTGTCATGCAATAAGGAAAAGGCCGAGTTTGACATTTCCTCTATACCAGCGAGTCCCTGCACAGGACCGGAAAACACAGAGCGGGGTTTTTATGAATGAACAAAACAAATAAAAATGGGACATTGATGGGCGAGTCACAGAAACATGGATGAGCGGCCAGCAAACTCAGTCCTAAAATACCAACGTTAACCCCCTTAGCGCTGCAGCCAAATGTCAGAGGGGAACCCACAGGTCTCGAAGCTCCAAAACGCCCGCCGTTTGGAGACCCTCAGCGCCTCACCGTGCGGTCTCCAGTACCCAGAATCTCTGAGAAGTCAGTAAGGCACCTTAGGATCATCTGTACACGGTCTGTCATTATTTGGTTATTAAACACGTTTTTGCATTTCACAGTTAAGTAATTACAAAGTTCATATTTTTTTGGCCCATATAAAAATAAGATATTGCAACTCAAAGTGCATCTTTTAAAACAATAAAACAAGGAAACGATCCCACAACTTCCTGGGAGAAGAAATATTTACACCATTTGGTATGAACCGGAGAGGGGAGCGCAGATTCATGCTATGACCATCGGGACGTCGTCGGAAAAGCCGGTGATCATCGGCGCGTCGTCATCGTCCTCACCTGAAATCAGACGGGAAGTTTTAGATCATCGTAAACACTGTCAAGTCAACTTCCTGGCGGCGGCATTGAATGGCAGAACAGGAAATACATTCACATTGTAAAGATTGCAAAAGGCGGGAATTACACTGCCGCAAGGCTCACTAGACTCTGGGCGAGTTACTGTCACCCATACTTCCTGTCCATATGCACATTGCAAATATCTATATATGATTTTTTTTGCAAATGATCCATTTTATGACAAACTTACCCTGCTGATCTTTGTGACGTCATCTCTTCTATTCGGGAACCGCAGCTATGCCTGGCACCTGGGGCGGTGGCAGGAATGTGCAGACATCACTTCCCATCTGTGTGCACTTCTGCTGTAGCAACATTTAATTCCCATCTTTCAATGGGAAGTGTAGTTGTGAATGAGCATGCATGTGGCCGATCCAAACCAATTGCTTTCAGTAGTTGTAGTAGGTGGGTCAGACTGGGAGTCTGAGAGTCCCAGGTCCTCCCACTACAGCAAGTTGCAACACAATTAAGTTGCCTCTCAAAGGGGGTGTTATAAGACCAGTGGCCACCAGTCTTAAGGTGCCCATACACTGGCCGAATTTCCACCGGTTTTTATTGTACCGGCTGAAATTGTGTATGGGTCTATTGGCTACCTTTCAGCCGGCATCAGCTGATCGAAGGAGCCTGCTGGAAAATCCTTGTGATCAGAGCCGGCAGCCATTGAGCTGCCCGCTCTGATCGGGTATTCTGACAGGTGCCGCCGGCAATGCAAACAGCGGCGACACGCTGCTTGTGTTGAAGGAATCGCGTCAATTTCTTTCGTGCAGCCCGCGGGTTGAACGAAAAAAAATTGACAGGTGTATGGCCAGCCTTATGAAACGGATATAAAGGGGAAGTACCCCTTATTATGCAGGATGCAAAATTTGATTTCTCAGGGATGAATTACTTAAAGGAGAACTATGGGGTTAAGTCTTTTCCCCATAGTTCTCCTTAGGGTAACGGGAGGACATAAAATAGCGTCCTCCCGTCACCCTAAGCTCAGTATATAGGGAGCTGTAGCTCGCGGTATACTGAGGCGCCGCAGCTGAATCGGATCCCGACAATTGTGGCTGGATCCGCCCAGCTGCGTGACTGACAGCTGGCTCCGCCTATCTAGAGGAAGAGCCAGCTGTACCCGCCCCCGTCCGTTCGTCCAGTCAGCGCCGGAGGATCGGAGGGGGGAATCCAGCCCCTCCCCTGTCACGGCAGAGAGCCGTGACAGGATCGAGAAGTGAGCGAACGCCAGGTAGTGTGTTCGCTCACCTCCCGATCTACTGAGCCGACCTGTGAGTCTCATTGTCACAGGTCGGCTAGAAATATGAGGTGAGTGAAAAGCACTCACCTCATAGTTCTCCTTTAATTACAACACATGAAGATAAGAAATGACCTATCCAAATATGTGAAACAATTTCTGCCTGGAGTTGAGCTGTAAGGTGAACTCCTCTTTTCCTCTCCCTATAAGGGGATGGGGGGGAAATAATTAGAGAATATACTTACCTTTTCCTGGCTTCCTCCCACAATGACTAGGCGAGGGTGACATCATCCTCCTTTCAGCCAGATCTCGGAGAATGTTGAGTTGGCCAAGATGAGCCTGCACTGTGCTGCAGCAAATTTTGGCCCACTCAGCATTCCCAGGGATCTTATCGTCAAGAGGATGACAAAGCAATTCCCCTTCCCTCAAAGGTTCTATAATGCAGCATTTAAAGGAAGGGCACATTATTTAAGCAGAGCTTACCTAAAGAGCAATGTCTGGTTTAATACTAAACAAAGAAACATTTGAGTTATGTATTTGTTAAAATTAGTGAATGTGTTTTTACCAAACTTGAATAAATATCTGAATCTGTGTTCATATTCCCTTTGGCGCAGCACTCAGACTAAAAGGAGGAGCAGCACTCTGATTCAAACAATTACTGCCCCATAGACTTCTATAAGGCTGTCCCCTTCATCTCTGGCCTCGGAGCCCAGCCCTATGCAAGTCTGTGGGCTGTAACGTTCAGGTCTAGCCAGGAAAGTAACTCGCTGTTCTGGATTTGAACAAACATGAAAGGATGCGGCTGTCAGATTGAAGTATATATTTGTGGAGGGTGGGATGGGTTAGGTCAGGCTAAAGGGACAAAAGGGATAAGTGCAGTTTGTTATAAAGTGCACTTATCCTTTAAAGTCTTGGGGTCAGGATGCTTTCTACATAATGTATTGCAGTCCTAGGTGGGGGTATTTAGGACTGGCAAAATAATTGCTGTGCATTTCACTGCACTTTGATGTTAAAAGTCTGGAATGGAACATTGTGAGGTCTGGAATCATTCAAGAAGCTTTTGGACGATTTCCTGAGAGACCGTAATGTACAAGGGTACAGGTACTTAAGAATGAGAACACTCAGGGACCTATACACACACACACACACACACACACACACACACACACACACACACACACACACACACACACACACACTAGGTTGGACTTGATGGACTAATG